CCCCCCGACCCCCAAAGGGTTGTACGGAGCATTTTGGGGAGGGGGGAGGCAAAACCCGGTGTTTTCTACCTTTGCAGGTATCACCGACCACCTACCCCACCCCCTTGAAGGGGGGGGGAGGGTCTGGCACCATGTTCAGCTCCTCCCGAGGAGGGGTCCGGGGGGGCCAGGACCAGTTCAACTGGGAAGATGTCAAGATGGACAAACAGAGGGAAAACTACCTGGGTAAGAGCTGAAACCCCCCCCCCCATATCCTGACCGTGGGGGGATGTGTGTGTCCCTCACCCCCCAGCACAGCTCTTGGGGTGTCCTTGGGAGGTTTTTTTTGGGTGTGAAGGTTTATTTTTTGAGTCTGGGGGGTGTGTGTGTGTGTGTGTGTTCATCTCTCTCCCTGCAGGTAATTCCCTGATGGCTCCATCTCTCTCCCTGCAGGTAATTCCCTGATGGCTCCCGTGGGCCGGTGGCAGAAGGGGAAGGACCTGACCTGGTATGCCAAGGGCAAGAAGGACACAGCCCCGGCCCTGTCCCGGGAGGAGGAACTGGCTGCCGTCCGCCTGGCCGAGCAGGAGGCCATGATGGCTGCCCTGTGAGTCCTTACCCTCCAACATCCCCCCAAAAAATAAAGGGGGGCAAAGCCTCCCTCCTCCTCCCCCCACATCCCAGAATCATGGAGTCGTTGAAGTGGGAAAAGGGCTTTAAAATCATCCAATCCAACCGTTCCCCCCCCAGCCCTGCCCCGTGTCCCTCAGCACCACATGGATGTGTCTGTTAAACCCCTCCAGGGATGGGGATCCCTCCCCTGCCCTGGGCAGCCTGGGCCAGGCCCTGACAGCCCTTGCCAGGCAGGAATTGTTCCCCAGATCCAACCTCCACCTCCCCTGGCACAACTTGAGGCCGGTTCCTCTTGTCCCATCCCTTGTTCCTGGGGAGCAGAGCCCGACCCCCCTGGCTCCAACCTCCTCTCAGGCAGCTGCAGAGCCAGCAGGTCTCCCCTCAGCCTCCTTTGCTCCAGGCTGGACACCCCCAGCTCCCTCAGCTGCTCCTGCTCACACTTGTGCTCCAGCCCCTTCCCCAGCTCCCTTGCCCTTCTCTGGACACGCTCCAGCCCCTCCATGTCCTCCTTGTCCTGAGGGGCCCAGACCTGACCCCAGCATTCCAGGTGTGGCCTCACCTGTCTGCTATCACCACCCTCCTTGGCCACCTGGGCACACTCTGTCTCATCTCCAGCTGCTGTGACCAACCCCCCTGGTCCTCCTTTTCCCCTGGGCACTTTCCAGCCCCTCTTCCCCAAGCCTGATGCGGGTTTGTTGTGACTCAAGTGCAGGACCCAGCACTTGGTGTGGTTGAACCTTGTACAATTGGCCTCAGCCCGTGGATCCAGCCTGTCCAGGTCCCTCTGAAGAGCCTTAACTCATCAATCCATCCTGTCCAGATCCCTCCGTAGGCCCTTCCTACCCTCAAACAAATCAACACTCCCACCCCACTCGGGGTCACCCGCAAACTTACCGAGGGTCTGCTTGCATTTTTGTAGGGGCTACAAGAACGTGAAGAGGCAGCCCACTGCCCTGAGCAAGGAGGTAAGGGGGGGGTCCCCAGGCATCCCCATGCCACCACCCCTGCTTTTGGGGCACACACACAAACAGGAAGGTCCTTTCCCCACCCCACAGGACCTGGCCGAGGTGTGCAAACGTGAAGGCGCCGAGCGGGACGAGAAGGACGTAGATCGACTGGTGGGCTTGGGCAGCTCCAGGTACTGGGGGGGCACCCAAATACCCCGATTCAGGGCAATTAGATTGTTGGGTTGTTTTTTTTTTTCTTTTTACCATTTCTGTGTGGGGTTGTCTGTTGTTGTTTTTTTGAATGTTGTGACTCGTGGCAACGTCTCTCCCCAGCAGCAGCGCCGGGCGGGTGATGCTCTCCAAGGAGGACAAGGAGGCAGCCAAGCTGGGGCTCTCTATCTTCACGGTAGGTCTTCCTCCTGAGGTTTAAAAAAAAGCCAGGAAAAAGGCAAATTTCTTTAAAATGTATTGAAAAGCAAAGCTGGTGGTGGTTGTAGCACAGAGACCTGCAAGAGCTCCCCACGTGCTGTTTGCGCAGCCTCAATTTTTTTGATTCGGAAGCAGCTCTTGGTGGGTATTTTGATTTTAGTTCCAAATTTAATTTGAATTTAATTTTTTTCCAAATGTAAGTTTGTGCTGATTTCTTTCCAAATTAATATTTATTTTTGTTCTGACTTGTTTCCAAGTTAAGTTTAACTGTTTAAGGGAGAGAGATTTCTGAGCCGAAGCCAAGGGCTCACAGACTCACTCCAGATTTTTCCCCCCCTCTTCCAACCTTAGCACCAGAAAGTCTCCAGCAGCCCCGAGATGTCTGGTTCCAAGAAGAAGCAAGAGAAGGAGGAGAAGGTGGAGGAGAAACGGTGAGGACTGGGACCACCCCTTTGGTGGGAAACCATTAGAAATGGTCTTTTTTGGGGGGAGGAATATTTTGCAAAATGCTTCTCTGGCTCCATTTGGCATCGAGCTTATGCTGCATCTGCCTGAATTACCTCAAAACCTCTTTGTTTTTGCCCAAAAAAAACCCTTTTTATTTTTTGTGCTGGGTGTTTCTCCTTGGCCAAGGAGGGATGTGATAGGATGGTCATGGAGGGAGGCATGGGAATGAGCTTGCAGAAGAGCTGGAGGGATGTGTGGAGCAGGGATCCTCACTGCTTGATCTCTTCCTTGCAGACCAGAGAGCAGCAAGAAATCCAAAAAGGAGAAAAAGAAGAAGAAAAAGAAGAAACATAAGAAGGAGAAGAAGAAGGACAAGCACCACAAGAGGGACACTGCTCCATCATCCTCTGATTCTTCTTCAGACCAGGATGAGAGGTGGCTGGGTTGGGATGAAGCCCGGGTGGTGGGGTGTCATCACTGGAAAATGGGAAGAAGGATTTAGGAGAGCCACGTGGTCATGGTTGGCATCAGGATGCCCCATGGGCATCTCCTGGCTTTCCAAAATCCTTTTTTCATCCCGAATCACAGGATGGTTTGGGTTGGAAGGGATCTTTGAGATCATTTAGCTCCAACCCCCCTGCATGGGCAGGGACACCTCCCACCAGCCCAGGCTGCTCCAAGCCCCATCCAACCTGCCCTTCAACACCCCCAGGGATGGGGCAGCCACAGCTTCCCTGGGCAACCTGGGCCAGGCTCTCCCCACCCTCACAGCCAAAAAATCCCTCCCCAATATCTCACCTAAATCTCCCCTCTTCCATCCTGAAGCCGTTACCCCTCCTCCTATCACTCCCAGCCCTGGTGAAACACCTGCTTCTCGGGTACCCCTCACTTGTCCCCCCTCCCATCCTTTGCAGGCACCACGGCAGGAAAGCCCAGCAGCAGCACCCGGAGACACGAAGAGGAGCCGGAGCCGCTCCCCTCCATCCCGTGGGGGCCGGCAACGCCACGACACCGATTCGGACTGAGAGAGAGAGAGAGAGAGAGAGAACCTGGGGTTCTGTTTTGTTTAATTTTTTTGTTGTTGTTGTGGGGTTTTTTTTTGGTATTTCCCCTCCCCGTGGAGCTCTTGGATGAAATGACGCAAAAACCAAAGGGGCGGGTGGTGGGGGCTGAGCCTGGCACAGGGCGTGGCCTGCAGCCCCCCCTGCCCTCCCCCGGGGTCCTGCACCTCCCCTGCCCTCCCCAGGGGTCCTGCAGCCCCCCCTGCCCACCCCTGGGGTCCTGTACCTCCCCCCTGCCTGCCGAGCCTTTGGCAGAAGAGGATGGTGGTGGGGTGGGAGGTGGGAACGCTGCGGGTGCCTGGCGTTTCTGGAAAGAGACTCTGGATGCAGTTGTTTATATTAGTATGGTTTTTAATGTCTTCTTTCGATGCTCTCGAGTCACTGCTGGCCAAGTGGCTGCAGGAGAGTTTCATGGAATTCCAGACTGGTTTGGCTTGGAAAGGATCTAAAGATCACCTAGTTCCAACCCCCTGCATGGGCAGGGACACCTCCCACCAGCCCAGGTTGCTCCAAGCGCCATCCAACCTGCCCTTCAACACTTCCAGGGATGGGGCAGCCACAACTTTCCTTAGACCCTCCCTTAAGTTCATCAGCTGCAAAATAAAACCTGGGGCTTACACACTGTTAGGGGGTCTTGCATCTTGGTCCTGATGGTTTTATGATGGTCAGGCTCTCCAAGGGGGGTCACTTCTGCTCTCCATGGGGTGATCAGTGTTCTCCAGGAGGTGATGTGTGCTCCCCATGGGACCACACATCCTTTCCATGGAGTAGGTGCACTCCAGTAGGCTATGAGTGCTCTCCAAGGGCCATGAGTCCTTTCCATGGGGTGATAGGACCTTTCTATGGGGTGACGTGCTCTCCATGGGGTGGCATGTGCTCCCCATGGGGCATCACATATCTCCATAGTGCACACCTACACAAGTGACCAGGGGAGCACTTAGGAAAAACCCCCTGGGATCCCCAGGACAGGGCAGAGTCCTGCCTGTGCTTTTCCAAGGTGACAATCGCCCTCCCTGTCCCCAAAAAGCTTTAATTTGGGCAAACCCAAGCAGGAACTGCTGAATTCCTGTTGGGACATGAAGCAGAGGTGGCTCCATCACCCCCAAACTCCTGCGGGGGTGGCATAAATCATCACAGGGATGTCCAGGCCATGATGTCCTTAGGCAGTGTCCCCATGTGTCCATGTCACCTGAGTGGGGATGGAGCAGCTCATTTCCCAGGGATGAGTGTTTTCCCAGCCCAAGTCCTGGAAAAATCAGGGGGCTTGGTGGCTCAGGCATTTGTGGGTGACAGTGATGGATGTTCCTTTTGGTTGAGAAATGGCCTTTTTGTATTTAAAAAAAAAAAAGGGGAAGTGCCCTAATTAAGGGCTGCAAGGAGAAGCTCTGAAGTAATTAATTCCTCAGCTGATGGGGAGAAAGGCTGATGGGGCTGGAGCGTCTCTTGCAGACATTGGCCCTGCTCACGGGGCAGGGATTCAGGATTGGGAATTGCAATCCAGGATTTTAAACCTCAAAATAAAAAAGGTGAGTATTTATGTGCTCTCCTCCCCCTGAAGGAAGGGCTGGGTGGGTTTTACATCAATAAATAGGAATATTGATCCAACTGGAGCAGGATTGTCCCGAGCAGCTCTGGAGTGTCTCTGGCTGCCGGAGCAGCCGTGCCAAGCACGAGGGCTTCGGTTGTGTCATTAATGATGCAATTTCTTCTGCTTAAGACAGGGTGGTTTGTGTGTCTTGGCAGACAAAAGCCCTGGGCTGGCGACCAGCCTCAGTTTGTGCTTTTGGCAGCGTTGGGAGGTGCGTGTGCATGTGTGGGGGTGTGTGTGGGGGGTGTCTTCTGTCATCTTGGTGCCCGTGTCCACAGCCCTGCCTGCAGCCGAGATGCAGAGCTGCTGGTTTGGGGTGGGATCAGGAGTGTGTAACAAGGGCAGCATTTATCTGGGGGGGACACATGCACTGTGGGACCAGGGCCATCAGCAGAGATAAAGCCCTTCTGTCCTGCTCCCCTCCCTGCCTGCCAGCACGTGCTTAACCCCACCAAACTGGGCAATACCCACAGTGGTTGCAAGCCTTGGCTACTCTGCACACACCCCCCCACTCCATGATTTTTTCCAGGGGCTTGTCATGAGGTTATTCCTCTTGGTCTGAGCCCCTGGATCTATCCCAGGGACCCACTGTGTGGCTCCCATGTGTCACATGTGGGGTAACCCCAGGCTCAAGTGCTTCCTGGTCAGAGGCTCTGACCCTGCTGGCACTCACCTGACTGAGCTCACCAAGCTTGGGGTTATCCCTCTGGGTTTTCTGGGGGTCCAGCTTGTGACTGGTCGTTGCTAGAAGGGCCCCAGGACAGTGATGGGGATGGTGGAGCAGGGCTGGGTTTAACAGGAACTCAGTGCTGGGAGCTCAAGCCTGAAAAGGGAACTGAAGGAAAGCTGAACAATAACCACAAGCAGAGAAAAAAACCCAGAGCCCATGCAAATCCCAGCTCTGAGTCATGCTCCCTCCATGGACTTCTCCTTCCCTTTGCCTTCCAAGAGGAGGGTGGAATGGATCCTGTTGGCAGTTTTGTACCCACTGCAGCTCGAGCCATGAGCTGGTGTCTCCCCCCGCCTCAGAGCTCAGCCTCTCCTGCCCTCAACCCCTTCAAAACTGCCAAGGCTTCACCCTCCTGCCTGTTGCTTTTCACAAGCTCAGTTAATCCATTCACGGGACTGCAGGAGCTTTATCCCACACTGAGGAAGTGGGATGGATGGAGCAGCACAGGCCACAGGGGTGAGGGGACAGCAGGAGGGTGGCTCATGAATAAGCCAGTGGAGAGCACAGGGAGGGTCAGAGATAAGCCCCCACAGTGGCTTGTATCCCCCAGGGTTGTGTTCCCCCTCCTTCAGTCCCCACTTTTGACTCCACATAGGGGGACCAGGCAGCAGCTCTTACCTCATGCACCCCCTGGAATGGGTGCACTTAAAATCGAGATCCGAGCAAAACAGTTTTGGAAAATACGGAAAATATAAGAACGAGAATGAGGGGGGGGTTAAGGGGCCCTTCCACACCCCAGGCCTGCACAGCCCCCTGCCAAGCTGCTGCCTTGGTTCCCGGCTGGGCAGAGGAGGAACAGCAGCAGCTGCAGCGTCCTGTGAGCCAGTGTTCCATGCTCCGCCTTTCCCTGCGCCTGAGCTGCCTCCCGGCTGGCTGGACGGGTGGTGAAAATCCCCCAGGGGCCCAGCTGAGCCCAGAACAGAGCAACGTCTGTGCTGCCCCAAGCAGCCGGCACAGCTCCCACAGCTCGCTGATCCCAGATAACATCAACACATTCCCCATTTCTTCCTCCCAGCCTTGGCACTGAGGAGCAGGATCTGCAGCGTGGCTGGGGCAGCCTGGACACGGCACAGATCCCCCTGCTGTCATACCTGGGGTGACACCGTGTTCAGTCCCCACTTTTGACTCCACATAGGGGGACCAGGCAGCAGCTCTTACCTCATGCACCCCCTGGAATGGGTGCACTTAAAATCGAGATCCGAGCAAAACAGTTTTGGAAAATACGGAAAATATAAGAACGAGAATGAGGGGGGGGTTAAGGGGCCCTTCCACACCCCAGGCCTGCACAGCCCCCTGCCAAGCTGCTGCCTTGGTTCCCGGCTGGGCAGAGGAGGAACAGCAGCAGCTGCAGCGTCCTGTGAGCCAGTGTTCCATGCTCCGCCTTTCCCTGCGCCTGAGCTGCCTCCCGGCTGGCTGGACGGGTGGTGAAAATCCCCCAGGGGCCCAGCTGAGCCCAGAACAGAGCAACGTCTGTGCTGCCCCGAGCAGCCGGCACAGCTCCCACAGCTCGCTGATCCCAGATAACATCAACACATTCCCCATTTCTTCCTCCTCCCAGCCCTGGCACTGAGGAGCAGGATCTGCAGCGTGGCTGGGGCAGCCTGGACACGGCACAGATCCCCCTGCTGTCATACCTGGGGTGACACCGTGGCTGCTGGGCTGGGGGTGCTGCCTCCTACGTCAGCCACCTTTTCTTTTTTAGGGATGGGGGACAGGAGTGGGGAGCTGTGCTTATTTCAGCAGCCCAAAGCGATGGCAGCAGAAGAGCTGGCCAGTCAAGCTCAACTCCCTCCCAGCACAAAACAAATAGGAGTCCTGCCCTATTAGGCATGCAAAGATGCTGATTCAGAGCTTGAAACCGAGGGCGAGATGAACAACTGGGAAAGAATAACCTGACTCACAGGAATTTTGTAATCCCCTTGCTTGCCCAAGAGTATCTACCCTTCACTACAGAGACAAGTGCAAGGAACAGACACAGGGCTGAGGGAAACCACACCTGACCTCCTCCTGCAGATGCCCCAGCTGAGGACAGGGCAGAAGAGACACCCCCTTCCCTGGATAAGCCTCTGCACGATGGGGCAGTCCTAGAATAAACTCTCCCATCTCCTCCTGGCACTCACACAGGGCCCCAGGTTTCCCTACCTGCGAGGTTGCTCTCTAACCTGCAAAACACACCTTTCATCTTACAGTTTTCCAGCCTGTGTCAGGGAGGAATCTGCTGGAACTCCAGCCAGGAAAACTGCCAGCAGCCCAAGCGTGACCACCGGTCCTGGAAAGCTGCAGCTGACAGGGGAAGGCAGGAAGATCCAGCTGGGAGGAGCTCCACCCCAGGTGCAGGAGGGACTGCAAAATGGAAAAATGCAAACCAAAAATGTTCAGGAAGGCAGACTGTATTTTTTCCCCCCTCAAAACTGCTAATCCAGGGAGACCTTAGAGCACCTTCCAGGGCCTGAGGGGGCTAAAGAAAAGCTGGGGAGGGGCTTTTCACCAGAGAGAGCAGTGATAGGACAAGAGGCAATGGTTTTAAACTGGAAGAGAGGAGACTTAGGTTAGACATCAGGAAGAAATTCTTCACCATGAGGGTAGGAAGGCACTGGAATAGGCTGCCCAGGGAGGTTGTGGAAGCCCCTTCCTGGAGGTGTTCAA